CAAAACCCCAAAACCCCAAAACCCCAAAACCCCAAAACCCCAAAACCCCAATATGCAAAGTAATCAATTTTAAATTCAATTGAAAATAAATTGATCAGAAAAGTTTATAGTAAAATTAAATATGTCAATGCCTCCTAATAATGAAGAAACAATCTTAAGGTAAGCTTACATAATGTTAATTTAAGAGAGCTTAAATCATGTTGTGGGATTCAATCAGGAAAGACTAGTTTGAACACATCAATGTTATCTTAAGTGCTAATTTTCCAGTCAATGCTCCCTTGAATATCTTAGGTTTAACAGCATTGCATTATGCGTGTTCTTCTGGTAACCAATAAGTGCTTGATACAATTTTCAACTTTAATCCTGATGTTAATGTGAGAGATAACGTAAAAAATGATAATTGATATAATACATTATAGTATGGACGAACTCCTTTGCACATGGCTGCCTCGAATAACTAGATAACAGCTTTGAATATGCTGCTCAATCAACCTACAATTGATATAAATGCTTAAAGCAGTGTAATTTTATCTTTGATAATATGAACTTCATTAAAATCTTTCTAATAGGGAGGAGAAACAGCACTTCACAAAGCTATTGCTTTTAGTTCAAGAGAATCAATTGAAATCCTAATGCAGCATCACCCTAATTTGACATTGTAAAACACTTCAGGATTCGATCCAGTGCAATTTTCAAGGATATCTTCACCAGGCAATAATCTGTTCAATATTGTGTCTCAATATCTAACCACATTAAACTATCCACCACTATTGCATTTGCAATAGAATCAACTTCAAATCACAGATCAAGAAATGAGCGAAGAATAGGGTAATTGAGTTATTTCTTCTTAGAGATTAGATATAACTTAAGACATGTGAGGTGAAAAATCAAAACATAATGAATCACTAATAATGAACAAGTATGTTTGCATCAATGTTTTTACTCCTGCATAATATATAATTTAATTAAGCACATTTATTTAAATTGTAAATTAGAACTAAATATTGCTTCACTTAACTATGTACATTATGGATTGAAGATCAATTAAATAAAACCATTCTTCTACAACTCATCCATATCCTATTCACTTCATCATTCTTTTAAGCATGTATAATTCTTGCTAATGTGATAATTTCAAATTTTCTATTTCTTGCAAATTTCTCTTCAGTCTTTCCTACTATTCATGCTAAAGCTCCTCTATTACTCTATCATTTCTTTCTGCATCATCCCTTAGTCTTTCATTTTCAGTGCTTAATTTATCTAGCAGCTCCCTCACTTCATTTAGCTGCTTCTTTTACTTTATAAATTCCTCCTCAATCATTATTTGACTTGATTCCTTCTATTTTTTCTCGTCTTCTAAACGTTATCTAGTTACTTAGAGCTCCTACTCATATAGTTTTAGCTATCGATCTTTTTCTCGAAGTTTTCTTTCATACTCTAATGAGTTCTAAAATGAAAATTTAAGAAGCATTGATGATAGCTATTACATTATTGACTTCAGATGAGACTATGTGTCTCAGTTAAATAAGTTCTTTTAAAGACATTTAAATTTGTATAATTTATTTTAAATTTTGAAAATTAAATAAACATCTATCATGGACCCAATAAAAAAAGAAATCGAAAGATAAAAGTAGAGATGGGAAGAAAATGTGAGAAAGCAAAACGAGGAAAAAAAGCAAAAAGAGTTAGAAAGAAAAAAGCAGCTTGAGGAATAAAGGAAGTAGAAAGAACTTAAGAAACTGGAGGAATTAAAGAAATAGACAGACTCTATTCTGCTAGAAGAAAAGAAACGAATGGATTAATTAAAGTAAGCTAAGCAAGGAAATTCAAGGGATGTTTCCAAAATACTTAGAACTTCATAAAATATTGAAGAGTCCCAAAATACAATGCTTCATGAAGACGCTAAAACAGATTATAATATGCTTGAGTCTCTATTAGATCCTGGAACTGTAGAAAAATAAAAACAAGAGGTAGTGAATAAATATTATCATATGTCTCAAACTTAGAAAGATCTACAGGAATTTATGGATTTAGAAACTAATGTAAAGAATTCACTTGACATTGATAAAGAGAAGTAGCAAAAGAAGTTGATAGAATAAAGAGAGGAGTAACTAAGAAAAGATCTAGAAAATTTTCAGCAAGATTTAGAAGATGAGGACGACTAAGAAATCACAGTATAACAAAAGGATTATGCAAGATTAATAGAAGAATAATAATAAATTCATGTGAGAGTTGATCATAGCTATATTAAGCCAGATTAAATGAGGTAATCTTAGCAGTCATATGATGCTATGTATGATAGTTTATAGAAAATGGATGAATTACCTGGTAACATTAGGAGTTCAATTGAGCAGAATAAAAATAGTGTAAATAAATAATAAGTTAGACAATCACAGGTAGAGTTATAATCAAACTTATAATCTACTAGAAAAGATAATAGTCAAACTAGAGTTTCAATAAAGAGTAATAAACCTTTTCAATAAGAAAATTAGCAAAAAGAGATTTTTTTGTATAAGGAAAAATCACAAGAATTCAGTGAACCAGTGATACAAGCACAATAAAAAATCTTAGATTAAAATAATAAATCAGTCACTTCAAATACTGCAAGTAACTAAAGCCAAAATCAAAGGAAATTAGGTAGAAAAGAAGAATTTCTAATGAAAATGTAAATTGAGGAACAGATGAAAAAAATGAGCTAGGCATAATAGTCCAAGAAAAGAAAAGATGAAGAAGAGATAATGAGGAAAAAATAAGAAATCCTTGCATAAGTAATGGGGAAAAAATAACCTATTCAAAATTAGGTAATAGTAGAAGAATCAGAGAGAAACTCTTAATCAAATTAAAGCATTCAATCTAAGATTAATAATTAGAGACTTCAAGTGTAATTGACTGAAAGAAGTGATTTCCATGAAGAATCGTCTATTAATGATAGGGATTCAGAAGATGAAGAATACTATCAAGATTATAAAAATAAGTATGCTATAACTAATAACCTTCAAGATACTAAAGAAATGACCAATGCTATGTTTTAGAAATAAAGGAGATAAAGCCCATCTTCTAACGCTAATCCTGATTACGATAGTGAATTCTACAAATATAGTGAAGATACTGAGAGTAAAGTTTAAGATACTAACTCTAATTATATAAGTGAAAATGTTGAGCATTTAAATGAAGAATCTAATAAAAAAAGAAATAATCTTCAATCTGCATCTAGCAAGAATAGATAAGAATATTATGAAAAATATAATATGGATATGAGTGTAAAATCTATGGATTATGATAAAATGTATTAACATGGTTAAACTAAAGAGTTACAAGATTTAAATAGCAGATTGTCACAAACCCATAGTCAATTAAAAGGGGACAGAAGTAACTAATAATCTAAGATAATTGAATATCAATAGTAACCAAAGCATGATGTAAGAGCCTCTTAGAATAGTAAAATTATTACTTTTGGTAAAGATGATGAGGCTGCAAGCCTGATTGATGTAGGTGATTCAATGGTTAATATAGAGACGAGTTTGAACCCGAGGATTGACAACCAGTATGCTGATGATGATCTACCAGAAGAATTACGTGAATACGAAAGGTAACTTCTAGCACAGCTAGATCAAGAGTAGGATGAGGATGATGATTATTACTTCTAAGAAGACTAAATAGATCCATATGCTTAAGTTGATAATAGAAGTGAAGATTAATTGGATGATTCACAATAAATAAGACAGGTTGAAAGATCAAGATAATAAATCTCAGCAGTTGACTCCAAATTTAGAGTATCATTAGCAGCAAAAAATTCTTAAAGTGGATTAAATAATAAAAATTCTGATTTAGACTAAGATGAAGATACTGATCCTCTTAGAGAGTATTATGAACTTCAAAAGCAAAAGCACGCTTAAGCGAGGGAAGATGAATTTTATGATTAATTTGACTAACATGAGGAAGATCAAAAACAAATTGATGATCATTCATCTTATAGAAATTAAACATCTAGATCTGCTATATAATTTGATAAAACATAAAAGACTATAGATTTTCATTCACCAAATGCTAATAACATAAAGAATCTAAATTATTAAGGAAATGATTAAGATTAAAGCTATCATGATGATTTTGAAGGTGTTGACTAAACCGAGCCATTAGTGGATGATCTTGATAATAATGATGAGCAAGACGATTACATTTAGCAAAATTAGAAAGGAATTGCATTAGATTTTGGAATAGACGAAGGCACAATAAAGGAAAGAAAAATGAAAAAATTTGAAGAACTAAGATAGAGAAAGCTTTTGGAAGAATAAAAAAGAAAATAATAATAGAACAGAGGAAAATCAACAGAGAAAACGGTAGAAAGTAAACCTGCATAGCGAAAAATTCCATCTAAGAGTCCTATGAGAGATAAATCACCTATGTAAAAGAAAGATTAGCATGGTCTAAATTAATAAAAATTGATAAGGAGACCAGCTGCATTCGATCAAAATGAAGAAGCTAAAAACATTATTTAGGTGAGTCAATCAAGATTTGATAAGCTTGAAAATAAGCCGTAGCCATTAGCGGCTAATGTGCCCTAGCATTTACTCAAAAAATAATAGCATAAATAGGAAGTTTAACATTAGTAGCAAGTAACTCCGAAGTAAACTCCAAGCTAAAATCCCTAAAGCAAGAAAAACTTTGCAAAAAATTCAAACAAAAAAATCATTAGAAATGCTATATAGGTTATTTTGGCTGGAGATACTAACAAACTAATAAGAGATGAAGTTTTAAAAGTTATCGATGACACTGACTACCCTTATTATATTGTTCTTTTTAAAGGGAATATAGGTAGACAAGACTTTAAAGCACTTTACTAACATGATGGAATAGGTTTGATTGAAAAGATTATGGGATCAGCTGGTTGCCCTGATATTATAGAAGATAAAATGGTAGAAAAATTCTTCAGATATGACTCTGGAAATAAAATCTTTAAGGAACTAGCAGGTATAAAGAGTATTAGTTTGACAACTGATGCAGTAGCACTACACAAGAAGTTCAATCATAAAGTTTCTAATAATGCACTATTTTGATTTAATTATACTTACAGTTGTTTTTATACTATTGAAAATTAATTAAACTGTATTAGAAAATTATAATCATAATTTAATATTCTGTCTTTGGGGTTTTGGGGTTTTGGGGTTTTGGGG